GGGGGGGGGCGGGGGGCTTCTGGTCCCAGAGGCCGGACGGGCATTTTAATTGCCTCCATTCAAGTGTGTCCCTGGGAGTCGAGTCTATGAGCCTATGAATGTCATCCTCTGGTCTCCTTTGTATTCACGCCAGACACACACACACACACACACACACACACACACACACACACACTCTCTGCTTAAATAGAGGGACCGTTTTCAGGCATACAGGATCACAAACAAGTGAAGCTACACGAACTGGCCATGAGTAGGTGACAGTTTATGGGAATTTTTATGATCTATAATATGGTAAGGCCATCAGAGATTCCTAGATGCTTGTCATTGGCAGATAATTACAATATTTTTAAACTGTCACATATTGTCTGTTTATATTCTAAAATACACAACTGTGCTCATAGAAGAATGTATATATCTACACATATTTTCCTACGGAAAATTCAATCCCTTCGTTAACTATGATCATTACACACTTGGCAACGTTTTCCCTACAAAGAAAAAAGCAAAAAACAAAGAGAAATGGGAAACCAGAGTAGACATGTAATTTCTGGGGGCAAGCTATTTTATTCTGTTTATAGACAAAAGCAGATGGAGGTGGCAACTTGATTGAGTAATGGGAGTTTCCAGTCCCTGAGGGCCCAGGCAGATAATTCAGTCTCTCGCATAATCAGTATCCCCTTCATGTTACCAACTGAATTTAGCAGTTGAAAATCCCTGCTTTACAGTGCCCCTTGCATAGGGCGGTTAAGTGGGGAATAATTCCCTGCATTTATTTCCTGGAAAAAAGGGAAGCAGAAAAATGGTAATCAATAAATTAATTGTCCGGCATTGGTAGCAGCCAGCACCAGTGAATGGAGCAGAATTTGATGTGTACCAAAAGAGCCAGCTGTGAAGAGGGCTGCTGGGAAGGAAGCATTACTATGGTTACTGGAAACAGAAAGTCGGGGAAAAAAATAAGATGATGACAGAGAAGAGGGAACAAGACTACAGTGGAGGAAATTTAGAGACAGGATGCTATGCTGCATTGGTTTCCTCTATCAGTTTTACACTGTTTTTTGAATTCATTAAGATGAATTTGCATTCTCCTTTAGCCACCTTTCTTCCATGTTTTTTTTTTGATCACCAGCTAATTTTGCTTTCATAAATATTCACATGATGGTTCTTTAGGGTGAGATCGATCCTGCCGGTTCTTGCCTCTGTCCACATACTGGCCTCATAGAACTACTCAGCCTAGTCCACACCCTTTGTTTAGAGGTGACAAAGCTGAGGCCCAGAGAATCTGGCCAAGGTCACAAAACAGAATCATCACTGACAGGGTGTCCTGGCTCAGTCCTCTTTTTCTTCTCTCACCAAGTGACTTTCTTTCCCTGGTTCTATTTGCAAGCAACACGCATTCCAGAAGCATCCTTTGTCTTTGATTTTGTAAACCTCCTTTTATTTGCTGGAGCAGTGGTCTTCCTCTTAAAACACACTGCAACCATTCTAATGGACAAACTTTGCTTACTATCTGTGCTGGACTGTATTTGAGGTCTGAGGAATCTGGGGTAATTATGTCACCGCTTTTCTTCCATTTCCAGTCTGGCAATCAGATAAATCAAGCATGATCGCCCTTTTGTGAACCTTTCTTGTCTTGTAGAGCCTGAACTTAATCATCATATACTAGGCGCTCTATCATCGCTGGCCTCATTCTTTCTGAGATCATAAAACTGGACAACCACATTGAATCGGCCTCCCAACGTTCCTACTAGGTATACACAATGTGAACCTTCCCGGGGTTACTCAAAACAGTGAAGCTAAAAATAAAAATTAAAAAAATAACCCCCCAAAAACCCAGGTAAAATTAAAGAATGATGATGATAACTCATTCAAGCACAACCACTGGAGGGCGCAAAATTTGTTACAATCTTTCTAAACTACTCAGTGAAAACCATGGCTAGGATTTGGACCTCCTTCTTTTACTGTTATTATTTTCTTTCAAAGCTGTTCTTTCAATATTCGGTTCTTATGACTCATTGCTTTTAGGTGAAATCATCTATAGATACGGTCATATTGCTTTTTTGATGCTTAAAATGCAGTTGCCACCACTACCACTGTCTTCTCCAGTACGTCAGTTATAAAATGAATAAATCACAATTTAAAAAATATGATTACCACAGTTAGTAATCCTAAGAGATTTCAGGCCTTAGTGAATCCTACATACTGGTTAGAACTCCTTCCCCACAAAAGTATCCTTTTAAGCATAATCTCTCTACTAAATGTTAATTTTTCTTCAAAATAAGGTGATTTTGCTTTTCTTTTTTTTTTAGATTAGAAAATATAGTTCATTTAGGAAGTAAATTAGAGAGAGGGGAGAACAAGGAGACATACCTCCCCAAGGTACAGGAGGCAGCCAGAAATAAGGTGAATTTTCAACATAAATATTTTATTTTAATGTGTTGTCATCTATTTACTTCTGAAAACACACACAAAAAATGATGCATAGGAGTGCTATGTCTTGAAACATGAAACATATTCTATCAAGAAGTCACACATAATAGTACTGGTAAGCCTAAAAAAAAAACAAAACAGCACAGCTTCCAAAAACATTTAACACTCTCCAAGAGTCATTTAATATTTAGGGATATTGGTTGAGCAAGTGAGAATGAGTTGGTATATTCTTTTTCTTTCTTTTTTTTCCATTTGGTTGCAGTGTGGAGTAAGCTCTACCCCTTAAGTAAATCATACTCTAAGAATAAGAAAACAGATAATTGAGAGACTTTGCTGGTGCTTTGACTCTTCCTCTCTGTGACGTATGTTAGACTTTGAAGTAGCACCATTCATCCGTTCATTTAGCCCGTTGTGATGGCACACACGAATATATTTGAGACACTCGACAGGTTCTAGGGAAAAGGAAGAAACAGCATTTCCTTTCCAAGGAACTTTCATTAATAAATTAGTAAACAGAAGTCTAACTCACACTTCCTTTTCCCACTCTGATGAGACCCTATGACTCCACCCCTCTGTGATATCTGTTTTATTCCAGATGTTAACCTTTAAGAATCTGACTTAACTACATTCCCAAATTTAGTCAGTTCATCCTGGTGGCTCTTCTGAAAGACTCAGTTTCATTCCCTAAATATACTGGTCTGTGTATGTGTGTATTACTCTGAAAACTCTCTAGAAATGAACAATGTACCTTTGCGACCTGCTTGAAGCCTTTGCTTGCATGTCACCTTTCCAACCAGGGCTTTCCTAACAACCATGATAAAAATGACAAAAACGTCTCTGTCCGTGACCCTTCATCCCTGCTCCGTTTTTCCACAGCACTTATCATGTCATAAAATGTTCTTTCTTATGATGTGTAATATTTATGACCTACCACACCCCGTTAGATCCATGAGGGCAGTTATCTTTACATGTTTGGGACACTGGTATACCCAAAGCACCTGGCATTCAAAAATATTTGTTAAATGAGTGGATGTGAACGTTACACTAATGGATGAATTGGACTGTTTGAACACAAGAAAAGTCTTTGTATTCCACATTGCTTTCCCTATTCCATATACACAGTCTTTCTTTGAATAGTGACTTTCATGTCTATGATCTATAAACCACCCATCGACATGGAATCGACACATTTTTAAATTTCCATTATAAGATATAGATTTAGTAGCCGGGCTCGGTGGCTCAGCCTGTAATCCCGTGCCTTTGGGAGACCGAGGTGAGTGGATTGCCTGAGCCCGCGGGTTTGAGACCCGCCTGGGCAGGCGAGACCTCATTTCTACAATAAAATCAAAAATTAGCCGGGCGTGGTAGCGCGCGCCTGTAGTTCTGGGTACTCGGAAGGCGGAGGCGGAAGGATCGCCGGAGCCCAGCAGGTCGAGGCTGCGGTGGCCGGGAGCGGCCACTGCACTCCAGTCTGGGCGACAGAGTGAGACTCCGACTCAAAAAAAAAAAAAAAAAAAGATATAGACTTATTTAAAATAGTACTTGCCCGACCTATCATTGTATACAAAAATCAACTCAAAATGGATCAAAGTCCTAAACATAAAGCCTCAAATCATAAGAATCCTAGAAGAAAGCGAAGCCAATACCCTTATGCATATCCGAGTAGGCACTGAATTATTGACCAAGTCTCCAAAAGTGAATGCCATAAAAGTCAATGTAGACAAGTGGGACCCCATCAAACTGAAATGCCTTTGCACAGCAAAAGAAACCATCAAGAGAATAAAGATACAGCCCACAGAATGAGAAAAAAATATGGACAAATATGTATCTGACAAAGGCCTAACATCCAGGATCTACAAGGAACTCAAATGAAGTGAAAGGGAAAAAACCCCAACAACCCCATTACAAAATGGGCAAAGGACATGAACAAATACTTCTCAAAAGATGACATACAAGCAGCCAGACACATGAAAAAATGCTCAACCTCACTAATCATCAGAGAAATGCAAATCAAAACTACAATGAGATACCACCTAACTCCAGTTAGGCTATTATTAATAAGTCAAAAAAAAAATCAACAGATGCTGCCATGGAAGTGGAGAAAAGGGAATGCTTCCACACTGCTGTTGGGAGTGCAAACTAGTTCAAGCTCTATGGAAAGCAGTGTGGCGATTTCTAAAAGAACAAAAATTGACCTTCCATACAATTCAGGGATCCCACTCCTGGGAACATACCTGGAGGAACAGAAATCATTCTACAAAAAATACACCTGTACATGC